TATCTCATATCAAATTATGAATCTTGAAGATTCTTATAATTTTTGAGTGAATAGTCCTTGTATTTCCACGTAGTGGAGGTAACTGAAATATTATAACTGCCGGTCAATGACTGGCGTTTGGATGTGTATTGTAAACTAAATTTCAGTAAAGTGAGATTGGAAAGTAAAGTGAACATAAGGTTGTACTTTTAGACATATTCTTCACGTATTCAGAACCGGTTCCCACTCTCGTTTTTAGCGAAAATGCGTCTTTCGTCTCAGGAAATGAAATTCTAATGAAAATTTTACCATTAAGATTACGTTTAACATCAATCTGTATGAGGTTTACCTCAAAAAAAAATATATTTTGAAACCGAAATCTGTCGGTTTTACACATCATTTAACATCGAGAATGTATACGTGTTTCACTTCGAAATAGAGCTTCGTGAAATTTCTGTGTGTCCCCCATCACATACTTTTGAATATAATCGACATATTCATGTTTTCCCATCCCTACTTTGGCAATGTGTAGGCAGACAATATAATATAAGTGACGTATCGCACACTGACACCCAAGCGTTCGCGGGAAGTATGCAAAGAAGTTGCTTGTACGGCCGCCGAACAATCTTGATACTGGCATAGTCTGAGGAATGCCTGGAGGCTGTTCGGAACTTTGACAGTGTGTTTCAACTGACGTCTCGTTAAAATAATGGCATGATTTATATTGTACGTCTTTTTTTAGTAGACAGCAGATAAATTACGCAGAAAGAATCGTTTAATTGTACTGGGTTGTTTACACAGAACCGATAATTAAGGAAAGTATTTTATTTTTATACTAATGGTTGCGTTAAGAATGCTACGTAGAGTTAACATGTGCATAAAGATGGAAATAATACAACTTAAATAATAAAAAAACTTAAATAAATCCGATGTTTGCACAAATTTCAGTATTAGGCAAGCAAGTACTGACTTCTTCAGTTTGACTCTCCTAAAGTGTATCTAGTATAAATGTAACAAGAGTAACGGAAACCAACGAAGAATTCTGTCCAGTTATCATAAATCTTATAAAGGCGGTAATCAAAAACACGCACCAATACGACTTATGGACCTCCAAAAAGAAAGCCTATTCCTTCCTCAAAGGATGGCAACGCGTTTGTGACTCTTCTGTTGCGAGTGTCCATGGGACGCGTTGAACCGCCAGTTGGACAGCCTGCTCGTTTACCTCCTTTTCCATAAAAGAACGCTCCAACAGCGTCTCTCGTGTTTCCAGTCGTGAAAAACGAAAAAATCCCCGCGGACCAAAACCGCTACATCGAGAGCCATATCGACAGTAGCTCCAACAATAATAGTTCCGTATCCCATTTGAATATTAGAACATCCATCCACTGAAGATTTCACTCGCGGAGCTGCGGGGGGGCGCCACCCCCCACCCGCCGCACACACGCCCAGGGACAATTATTAGCGTGCGTGTGTCGCGGTCGAACGCGCAATAGGGCATAGTTGGAAAGGACCCGGCGGTCTTTTCGAAGAAATAATGCATTTTTTCTTCTCGCAGTTTAGTTTATTTACGTCATGCGTTATGCAATATTACAGGCTGTATGTTTTGCATAAATATGGCATGTTAGAAAACCAGTACTCTACTCGGTGTCCGGTGTAGTACGAGTAGATACAAGCTGAACAGTTTACCAACTTATTCATTACCTCCGCCTCTCGTGTCAGGTGTAAAATATTAACCAAGACATGGTCTTAGCTCAGAGTTTAAACGCTTTTTTATTCTTTATTATTTACACACCTAAGTTGGAATCCAGTTGCCAGTGAAGTTTTTAATAAGTACTGTTTGGAGTGAAGAATAATTAGGATTATTGCCAGAGTAAATATATAGTAAAACATAATGAGGAGGAACTATGATTATCAAAAGAAACCAAGAATTTGTATAGGCTAATTATAAGCAATAAGTTGGTATATGGATATAACAGTATCAATTTAAAAATAACTCTCCCGATTTTGTGTACACACACAGATACAAACAAACATACATAGAAAAGACGACAAACGTCATCAAGGTGCGCCGCATATCACCGTCACTTCAAACAATGGCAGTTTTAAACTTTAATAGTAACAAAAGATCCGTGTACACACACTTATTTCCAATTAACAAAGGACTGGGGGGAGATTTTGCTCCACATATTGACTGGAGGCAAAATATTCAATGACTATTGTACAAGATTTAGCTGTTTGTTTTTCATATACAACCTCTTTTATCACCACCGCGCGTTAACTGTATGAACATTTTCGAAGAGAAAAACATGATCTGGGCATATTTGTACGTTAGAGAATATTGCCACAATTTTATATGTAAATACAATGATGTTATATTTGTTCATTATTTAACGAAATATATATTAAAAAGTTATTAATAGGTATTTTAATATTTGTCTACAATTTGGGCAATCATTTTTGGCTTCGGTAGGTTCTATGACAGCAACGTATTCCAAAAATTAACTTTGAAATTATAATATGTTTATATATATTATATTTGAAATTATAATAAAATGTGGGGACATTTTGAGTGGCTTTGAATTTCTATTTATAACTTCTAGAGTCGTATTGTAACAATTAATCTCATTAAAATAATGTTCTTTGGGATCATATACATATTGCTCATATATTTTTTATATTTTTTTTTTTTCACTTGGCATTGTATTTGTGTGATTTAGTTGAGATTTGTAAAGTAATTTAAATGCGAGATTTCTGCTCATTTTTGTTATTCTATTTTCATTTTATTACATTTTATTTTATTCTTTTGTACTAAGCAAATTGATAAACATGGATCTGTCTTCTTAAACAAACAATTATAAGCCCATAGGTGCCGAAGTGCTCCCTGTAGCGCCAAACATAATAAAATTAAATGCAACTGATAACTGAGTAAAGAAGCCATTGGCTACGGCGTTGTGGGTCGTCAATTCTATTCTCACACGGGGCAATTATTTTGTGTGACCCACAGGTAATAGTTTCTGGTCTGGGCATTTGTTTTCACGTCAACGCTGAAGTCAGACGGGAGGCCAGCTGTATAAAAAGCAGCCAATACCTTAACGACACGATTCTACTGACCACAACAAGGTGTTATAACGGAAGAACAGAAGAAAGAATATGTATGGAGTGTATAGATAGAATGAATAGAATTAATATTGGGTAGAATGGCGAACTTATGCAACTGCCTACCACCGTGGGAACAATTTTGAAGGCTATTTATTATAGTCCGATCTGTACAGAAAGGACTGATCGTATTATAATAATTTACGAATAAAATACTAGATTAAAGTTTGTGTAATCATGTGTTACACACAGTATGTACCACACACAAAATATCGTTTAATATGAGTCTATTTAAAAGGTCCATTGCAGCCACGTTCAAAGAAAGTCGTACTGATGCGGCAGAATTACAATATGTCTGATTCTCGCTATGGTATCCGCCATCCGTCCAATTTTATTAAAACCCTTCGGTGCGTCGGATATGCATATACAACCCCTTCTTTCATACCATAAGTGGGCCGTATATTGTTGACTGAACGTTATTGTAAACATATTTCAGGCGATACGGCCCGATGCCGTCATATTCGAGGCAGTTTGTATTCATCCGCATAAATTACGCGTGGCACCGCGTCGGGCGGATTTTCGATTCGCCCTGCGGATTTTCGAATGGCGCGGGCGGATTCTGTGCCGGATTTTTATGCCCGCTTTTACTGCATTCCGCCTTTGACTAGTCAGTCAAGGCAAGCTCGTTCGTCAATTTACTAATTGTGATGTCATTATTTCGTAACTATCTGGATGGAGCTACCCATAGGGTTAGTACTGCATAAAGTTATAATGGTATACGGTATTTACAAAGATATGATACGCTCTAAATCAGCATATCGAATGTAATTTAATTTGTTGTAATTAGTTTCCTCTGCATATAATTTCTTATTGTCGTACTATGAGGGTGATACGTTAGTTAATTTCAAGCAATCCTCCATTTCGTTCCAGCTTTCGAAAGAACACTTTATTTTTACAATATGAAAACGTCTCCGTTTCAAACTTGATTCAGAATTTTAGGGTTCCGTACCCAAAGGGTAAAACGGGACCCTATTACTAAGGCTTCGCTGTCTGTCTGCCTGTCTGTGCGTCTGTCACCTGGATGTATCTCGTGAAACGTGATAGTTAGGCCGTTGAAATTTTCACAGATGATGTATTTCTGTTACAGCTATAACACCAAATACTAAAAAACATAACAAAAAAATATTTAACTGGGTCTCCCATACAAAAGACATGATTTTTTTGACCGTTTTATAGATAATGGTACGGAACCCTTCCTGCGCGATTCCGACTCGCACTTGGCCAGTTTTTTCTATTCAAATTTTGCGGAGTGAATAGGAGAGAAGCAATGTGGCAGGGTCATGTTTGTAGCAAAGGCTGCTGTTGCTGCTATACGAACAGGTTGGCTCAACCAGGAAAATACCACAGCCTCAAAGAAGAATGGAAGAATTATTCATTTGCACTTCGTCAACAGTCAGTGAATACAAGTTTGTAGGCAATTGCAACCCCATGGGTGCAAATAATGTCAGATGTATGTACATTAAAAATACCTTGAATAATGTGTGTCATTCAAAAACTTTTTAACTGTGGTAGGGGCAGGCAACAGTGTCCGCTTCTTGCAAGAATGGCAGGTTAGTACCACGACCTCACAGAAGACTGGCGTAAAGGTGTAACACTTCTGCCTTTCGTCTGGTGAGGGAGGTAGCCGGGGCCCACTTTATTGAATGGTGGCCACGCATCTGCAACCCTATGGGTGTTGCAAATACACATTGGCGGCGGTTTTCACTTAACATCAGATGAACCGACAGCTCATTTGCTACTTTGTCACATAAAAGAAAATTACTATGACTCGTAATGATAATAATTATTAGAAAATCTATTCTGGATCGCTGTTGTTTTACCATAAACAAAATTAGAGTAAATAAATGATAACCATTAACACATTCATGTTAAAGATTCCCGACAATCCGACGGGAGCACTGAAACATAGTAAAACTCGTCCGCATATCGACGTAGGGGACGCTAGTGGGGAACGCGTCTTTGGGGCCGTCGACAACCAGAGGCAGCAATCTGTCGCGCCTCTTTGTGGCGCAAAGCCTTTGCCGTGGCGGCGCCAAACGTCGGACGTCCGCGTGACAAATAGGCCGGCTCGGCTGAGCCATTGGGGACGTGCCGGCGAGCCCCTCACGCCGACGTGCGGAGCGACGCGACTGGGTAGATTGCTTTCGAAAATACCAGTGTGTGAAATCGTCGCGACATTATGAACTGTCGGGTGAAATTATCGCATGGATAAGTCTCGGATATCGACTTCGAAAGGGAGGAGTTTTTTTTGTATATGAAAAGGCGGCATAGTGATGAGCGCCGCCCATGGACATTGCACCAACCGTTGCAGATGCGTTGCCACCTTTTGATAAAGTTGGCGGCTACCTAACTCACCAGATGAAACGCAGAATACTTCCACTTTACGCCGATCTTCTGTGGGGTCGTGGTACTGACCCGGACGGACCTGCTTTGGGAACAGCGAAGAACTACCGCATGTTCAAGATTCGGGCTGCTATTGATACTTCTACTACAGTCTTCTACTGAAAGAAATGCGTTGGTGTCTGCATCTGTAAATAATATTTATATACAATTTTTTATTAAGATAATGTTATGACTACAGTAAGGGCAATACTTACTGCATGATAACATTATCTTGTGTTGAAAAGACGTTTTGCAATAATAATTTACACAATAAATAGTTTTGTTTAGTTAAAATAGTGGGTCTAACAAATAGTTTTGCCGTGTGGGAATCAAACCCACCACCCCCATCGCTGTGGCATTTCTTTTGCGTGCAAGTGTGTTTATTGCCTAAAATTACGTTAAATAGAGTGCAATACTTGTACAGCCGTTAACTGGTGACTTTTAACAATGCCGTCTCCAAGCCACTCCAATTCAAAGCCATAACCGCAGCGGGTGACGGGAATCTAGCGAAGTACCCACTACTATATCTTGGGAGTTTTATTTCGTCTTCGCGTCCTCTCAATTCACGGCCCCTTTATTGCCTCTCGTGACGTTTGTCGTATTCCCCGTAAACTGTAAAACGGAGGGATGAAATTTAAATACGCCGATTTATATTATAATCGATGGTGTCGATATTGTCACGGAATAAGCTGGAGGGGGCGAGGCTACCCCAATTTCACTTTACGGCGAGCGTTTACGCCCTGTCCCTAGTTATGAGATGCTACGTTATGAAGAATGCGAAGTGCTAAATTATCAGAATCCAATACCGGTTATGGCCCTCGTGAATATTACATCGAATACTTCTCACATAAGTGAAAGGTATTAAGCTTCCATAGATCATTGATTTACTTGTTTTTAGATAACGAAATGAATTGTTTACGTAACATATTTTTCTATGTGTGAACATGGCGAGTTAAGTCGTAACTGCCGCCGATGGACAGTCGTAACGCCCGTAGGGTTGCAGATTCTCGTCCCACCACAGTTGTTTGTTGTTAGCTACGCGACTACACACTCAGGGATTTCCGATGTCCTTTAACGGTGATTATTAATTACTATCTATCTAGCTACGTACTCATTTTAAATCTCATAGCTAAAAAGTTCCTCTAAATAATTTTTTGAACGAATAACGGAGCGTCATCTATTTTATTGTAGGTTTCTTGAAGTAAGGTTCATTGATCTTCTTATTTATAGATTTCTAACGTCTCATTTTCTCAGTTAAGTTTAAAACTACATAAGGACGGAGAATAGAGAACAGCGCTACATTTGGTGAGAGCTTGTAACGGGTTCTTGAACACAAATTACGTGTCATTTGAAAAAGCATTATCCCTTCTGTATGTTACCCTCCCTCTGTTCATAAACTTAAATTAAACTTACATAATTGAAGTCCGAGACAATTATTTGCTATTGGTTTTCGGACTAAAGACTCTCGGTGTAGAAGCTACTAACTAAGCTTTGGCCTCCACCACACAAGATAAGCCAGTATTGCCAATGGCGTAGTGGGTAGTGTACCTGCCTTCTGCTCTAGAGGTTTTGAGGTCGATCCCCACTAGTGGAAAAATATTGTGTGATAAACATAGTATTTTTCAAAAAATATATGTATAATATTTATTTATTTACAAAATAAAAGTATGTTTAAGTATGTTCATCAGTTATCTAGTACCCATAGTACAAGCGTTGCTTAGTTTGGGACTAGAGAACGGTGTGTAAAAATGTGTCGAAAAAAGAAAGTATGTATAGAAAAAGAGAATATAATACAACATTTTCTTTAGGTATTATATATTATTACTTTTTTTTTTGCGTAATGCTAATCGTCAATGCTATCGCTACAATCAACTCTACGATTCCGAAACGTTTGCACCGACCTCGCACGCTGCGAGTTTTGCTTGCGAAATATCAACAATTTGAATAGACGCAATCGCGCCATGTCGAACGCGACGGCAATGGTTTTCGCGTGAATTTAAGAAAAAATTATACGAGCAATTGAAAAGGCTAATAATTTTTAAGTCCAACAACGCTTTAAGGTACAACACTCGTGTCTTTATTTTTGTACGATTTTTTTACTGTGAATAGCTACTGTTTCGTATCTAAATAAATTCAGTAGAACGGAGACTGTACTAGATTAAATGAAACTATTTTACGAATTTTATCACGACTTTTAAATTCCCAACTTTTCGAAGGCTTTCCAGCGTTCAATTACATGAAACCATGTATAGTATTAATGTAAAAACAAGAAATCAATATGAAGATTGTTCCAGATTTTTTAAAATTCAGTGACAAGCGTAATAATTTTACGATCATGTTACATATTTATGATGTTAAGTATATATTTCTGTTACACGTAGACATCTACATACTCGGGCAATCGCGATGCCAATATTGTCTTAGTGGGACCTCAATTTATTTTACTTACTAAAGAAAAGCATTAAAAAAAGCTTTACTGCACTTATATGAAAAGACGTCGAATTTTCTAAACAAGCTAGCTTATTCATGCCACTTTAGCTTACACTTGCGAACATTTTAGTTATATTTATTATATTACTGGTTTTATACATTCATATTATGACTAGCTGCCCACGACTACGTCTACGTAGAATAGGCTGAAGGCGTAACATTCACACAGAAAGACAGATATACATAAAATATGTATATAAATTAAAGCCAATGTCTCATTCTGTTGTATAAGCTATATTATTGTAAAGTTTTATTAAAATCTATTCAGTAGTATTTGCGTCAAGGAGTAACAAACATCCATCCATACATACAAACTTTCGCGTTTATAATATTAGTAAGGATGTAAAATATATAGGATTTATAGGTTACTTATTATTATTTCTCTTAGTTATAAACTTGTATTTATTTTTATTTGCAGGAAATCTTCCTACAGTAGCTCTGCCCCTTAAGCTTCAGTTGGTTAGAGCATATAAACCAGAATCACAGATTGAGATAATGCGAAAAAGTGTATGCGTAATAACCGTTTGTATAAGCAGTTCTCTTGGTTTATATTTATTTATTATTGAGCTCCACATTGAAAACGCGTTTACTTGGTTCCGTATAAATTTAATAAAACGCATCATTACTTTAATCTTATACTGCCCACCACGTTTTAGAAAGTTAACATATTCAGTCTACAGATTGATTGACCGAGAAAGCTGTAATTTGCAATTGTTTCAACAGACTCACTGCACGTACTTTGATCTTGATAAGTGGGAAGAATAGCGGTTCCGAGCAGGTCCCTAGTGAACCCCAACATCATAACCGGTCTCGCACGTAACGACATTCGTCTGTCGATGACTAAAAGGAAAAGATCGCTTTATTACCGCTTTCTATATAAGCGAAACTGTTTTGCTAAACCGCTTTGTTTCGAGAAACCGACCGAGATAAAGATTTTAATGTAATCATGACTTTGGAAATATGACACATAAAGCGGAACGGGTCTATAGCAATTGTAATGGCCGTGCGTTGTTTGTTATTTCATAAAATAAAAATGTGTTATTTTTTATGTTTCTTGTTTATGTTTATTAACTTACCTTTGTTGTTTACAATTCTGCAGCTTATATATATATATATATAGCTTACTGGTTAAGGTGTGTCTGTAATCTCATATTAATACATGAAATCCGAGCAAGAGTGAATTTTTCGCAATTCGGATTATAAGAAAAATTGACGTTGATAAAAACAATTATAATTTTTTTTCGAAATTTAATCTAAATGTAAAAAATATTGGCTAACGCCGATGCGGTGAGCCGATATCAGAATCTCTAAAGAGCATACGTAACTTTATTGTATGGCATTATATGTAAACGATTATAATATATCTATAGTTATGTAGACATTGTTTTTATATCTTACCAATCGCGGTTAGTGGGCTAGATACCTACCCGGGATAGTATTATGGATCAAGGTTTTTACTATGTTAGCGTTACGTACCCACTGATGGGCTGGCTCGCCCGGGGAATTACTACGGCTGCGCAGAAGACTGAAGTGGAATGGTCCGGCTTTCATCTGGTGAGTGAAGTAAGCAAAGTCCAAATCTTATAAAGTTGCCAGAAACCCCCAAAGATGTTGTGGATGTATGTTAGCGGCGGTTCTCGATTGAAATCAGGTAAACCACCTGCTCGCTTACCTTCATGTGGCAGAAAGAAGAGTGTTTTCCCCTTAATTAATTTGAGTTTGTATAACGCCTCTACTACACTAATTATTCTAGTGATATTTTTAAGAAATATCATAAAAAATATCTTATATTTATTAACAAACATTACCCATTATTGTATGAAATTATTTAATTCTTAACGTATATTGCCGACGTTTCGAATACTCTACTGGAATCATGGTTACGGTATGCAATGTAACCCGTATAAGTATTTAAATAGAAAATATTATAGAACGTCAATTGTAATACGAAAATTCTTAAACTGCAGCAGCCCTGACATGCCAAGATAGGCAAGAAGGTAAATAACAACAACAGAATAAAAAGCCTCAATAAAAAGCTATCGAAAGCGAATGGGACAAACCAGACACGATCTGAATCAAACGCGGCGCATAGTCCGCTGAAACACGACGACACGTCACACGGCATTAAGGGAACGGGGCGAGTGCAGTTAAGCGTGCACCTGTAAATCCCCTCCCCCACCCTCCCATTTGATCTCCCGTTGATTAATCCCAATCAGCGAATGACTCTCGTCATGGAACAACGGGCCGACGGCACTCGGGGCCACTCGCGATGGAGATCAAAGAAGCCGATCGGCTGAGCGCGGGGGCAACAATGCACGGCTGCATATGCATGGGCGCCGGCGCCTGAATATGGATGAGGGACGGACGAGCCGCGGAGGGTGACAAATGAGATTTCCGACTCGGAAAAAACAAAAGTCCACCGCGCGCCGAAACGATAGCAGATAACGATGTGATACAACGGACCGCTGGAAAGGGACACGGTACCGTTTTCACCCTGTGGAATTGCTGACTGTGATAACACTAGTAAAAAAGTTTTTTTACTGTGGTCAGTTCATGTAACAGTTTCTGCTGCGCCAATGAGCTGGCGTGGTATGGAATCGTCCTGGGAAATACCAAGGCCTCGCAAAAGACCAGTGCGAATTGGGAGTTTGATACTTTCGAGTTTCGTCTGGTGAGTGAGGTGATCGGCACCCACTTTTTTTAAAGTTGTCAACGCATCTGCAACCACTTTTTTAAAAGTAGTCAACTGCTGTGAACATCAGATGAACCGCCAGCTCGTTAGGCAATTTGTCACATAAGAAAAGGTCCAAGGTAGAAGCAAGAATGTCATTTAACCTCAAATGTGTGTACAGTAGTTAAAATCAAAAGTCTATCTGAGAACTAGTCGGCCAAGTTTTATCGAGACATAGAACAATAGGTGCTTTAGTACGATCCAAAACTACAAAATAAATGAAGCTCTCGAAATATATGTCCTAACGTAAAATGTAATATCATTTTTTGTCATCGCTTTTATTGCTTTCTGGCACCATGCCTGTACAATGACCTTCGCAAGACTTACTAAGGTCAGTAAAATACTTCACAATATACATGTATTCACTTCAAACGTGTATAGGATTTGCAAATGTGCATGTGTTCATTATTGTAAAACGCTATTTTGAACTCTACTCTTTTTACTCTTTTTTAAATAAGCTTTATAAACTTATAGACTTTAATTGAGTCAAGTTTCTAATCGAAAGCTTTTCTTTGACTTTCAGTTTGATTCCCCTCTTTCACGTCAGTAATGATAATGTAAGATAGTCACATTTTAAATACAAAAAAATACACACATTTATAGATTCACAGAAAGCAAACTAGAAAATAAGTTTCGAACACAAAAAATAAATTCATTTGTTGTAATATTATAACACTTTGAATTCGTATTTTAACAATAAATGAAAGAACACTGAAGTCTACATCCGTTTCCGGATCAATGTGGCCTAATATTGAGTTACTTATTGAATTGTATTAATTAAATAGACGCTTCGGAACGAAACGACGATCAGAGAATATAATAAAATGTGCGGATATCTGTGCATAGCGGTTTTAATTTAAAACTTTGTTAATCTAAGTATAAAGAGTCGACCACAAAGAGAGCGGATCAAAACGATGAAAAATTATTGAAAGGGGGTCACAGCGAAAGGGTGGGGATGGGGAGGCATCGACTCTAGTGAAAGCGCCGCGTTAAGTTTGCATCTGATACCAATACCCTGAACCTTATCACCCCCTAATAAGGTTGCGAACCGTCTGAATTCTCAAATGGAGTGCAACGAGGAACACGTGTCAAATATCACAAAGGGAGCCCCCTAATAATCGTGATTTTTTAATCAAATTTCATCTGTACAAGGGAAGAGGCGGCTATATTTTTTCATTATTTAATTTTCGGTCGCTGGTGGCTTTTTTATACTTCTTCAAGGGACAGCGCTGTTTGAAGCGTTTTTTTAGATGTTTGGACGAGGACCGCGCTTTACATCAAAGCGAACGAACAAATTGTAGCTCAGCAATTTAGATCTTCTTAAAATTTTCTCCATTTTCCATCACATACTCCGTTCAATTCAATTCAATAATTTATTTGCCATCTAACATTACATATATAGGTGTTTCAATAGAAATGTGCTTATACTTTGATAGTTTTGTGCTTATATACCTTGAAGTCTATTTTGCATTTGACTAACACTACAAATTCAAGGACTGTGCTTATCTATTGGAATTAAAATGATAAGAATATTCAATAGTTTGTTTTAGGGATAAGTAATTATTTTATGCATTTAAATTTTAGATACCATAGTTCGGCAGTAGAAACGGGTCCTAACATTGGATCACGCGCCAGAAGTCGTGGATTCTATTTCCACACGGGACAAGTATTTGTGTGACCTACAGATAAATGTTCGGATGTAGTAGTGTAGATGTATGGACGTAAAAAAACCTTGCCAATACCATTAACAACACGATTTACAGTTGTGCTAAACACACTTACGTAAGATGAGAGCTGGAGATAAAGAATAATCCTTAAATATTGTAAAGTATCGTAAAGTATTAAGCATCCCCGGGCCTAATATGGGCTGATGTTTTCCTTCCAACCACACCGTGCCTCCTAGTGGCTGGTTGCCTTTGTTATGGAAAAAGGGGGTAAATGAGATAAAGGATCAGACGAACCTGTACCCCATTTAGTGGTGGTAATCGCTTACCATCACTCATCGTCGCTGGACACTTGCAACATCGGAGAAGTCACCGTCTATAAGGTTGCGCGAAGCATCGCTGATACATTTCGCTGCGGTGTGACAGGCGGCTTGATAAAACCGTTCATTTCACGGTTAATATAGCAGATCGTTTGTTCTCGTCCTCAATTTCTGTTCGGTTCGGTTGTGCTATAATTGTTATTGCTAGATAATGACATCGCTAACGTGATTCCCGTTTTGTTTATACTCCACAAATGAGCTTTGATTTTCGTCAGACCCGTCTCACGGAGGGCCTCGGGCCAGTAACACAACGACATAAAAATTCCTAACATAACCTCAGATATTAATCTAATGTATTAATTAATCTTAAAGGTTATATAAGTCGCATTAATTTTGCATCTAAAACGATGCGATAAGATTTGAAAAAAAAATTCGAGCTCATTAAAATTGTTATGTTCGTCTTTTAAACCGACTTCAAAAAAGAAGGAGGTTTCTCAATTCGACCGTATATATTTTAATTTTTTTTATGTGTGTTCGGGGATAACTTCGTCATGTATGAACCAATTTTGATGATTCTTCTTTTGTTGGACAGGAGATATCCCAAGGGTAGTACCATGATAAGGAAACCCAGATCTGATTAAGGTATCCTAGAGAAATCGAGGGCAATCCTCAAATGTTATGGGTGTTGACAATGCTTTTAGTTTCCTGTTGTAGTCGTTTTTTTTTTTTGTTCAAAATTATATGCTGAACATATCTTTCAGCCAAATCTCTTCTCAAAAAGAGTCTCATCTACAATTCATACTTATTGAAATTCGCCTAGACGATTGTGTAACATGAGCAAATCCGGAAAACGGACAATTACGAACCGTCATAAGTTAACGCTCTTTATAATACTATGAATTTTTGATTCCTAAAAATTTTTTCATTCTTAACAGCGATTTCGAAAATGCTAGAGCTACAACAGCTCATATCGAAACATAAATAAGAAGCCGGAGGATTACAATAACTTATAATGATAATACCATGTAACACATCTACAAACAAGTTAAATTAGTTAACGGCATTTTAAACCGTTTAATTTTCAATGGTTTGAACATTTTACAGAGTCCATGGTCATGGGGCAGACTTGAGAGATTTTAACGTGGCCATTAATGGCCATAACAATGTGTAAAATATAAAGTAAATTTTGATAATATCAGTTAATTAATGAAACGGTGGTGCCGATGCTAAGCTATTAGATTCGGTGCCAGGGGTCGTGGGTTTGATTCCCATACGAGACAAGGGTTTGTGTGACCCACAGGTAAAATACATAAACCTAAAATCGCTTACAACATGATTCACATGTTGTTCCAAACCCACCTAGGTCGGAGTAGGAAAGAAGAATGATGATGAATAACAGTTAATTAAACTGTAAGCATTGTGCAAAAGGTAATACGCAAGCTTTCGTTTCAATAGATCAAGTTCAATTCAATAGAGTTTCAATAGGTCACGTGTCTTAAAGGTGGTAGAGCCACGCAGCAGCCTCAGCTGTGGCGCGAATGGGCAGGCTCGTCCGGGTAAGTACCACGACCTCACAGAAGACCGGCGTAAAGTGGAAGTATAATACTTTCGCGTTTCATCTGATGAGTGAGGTGGCCGGAGCCCAATTTTCAAAAGGTTGTCAACACATCTAGAACCCTAGGGTGTAGCAGATGTCCATGGGCGGCGGTATTCACTTAGCATCAGGTGAACCGTATGCTCTTTTGGCAACTTTTCACATAAAAAAAAAACCAGAGATCAGTACTAGAAATCGATTTAAACCGACAAAAAACCACAGATAAACAACGTCACTCGTACGCCAAACAATTCCGTCCACGCATAGCGTTCGAAAACAAAAAAACGACGTCGAAAACAAAAGAACTACATCAATTTTAATTTCCCTTACACAATAAAAGAGTAAAACAATTAAAACAAGCGCCGCAGTTTCAATTAACCCCGCCGCTTAAAGCGATTGAAAAACCACTCAATACAATATGCAAATCGAAAATCCCGCTGTCCGCTGGAGTCCCGTGAGAGAGTTCGGGCGCCGTTGAAAAATCAACCCCGTGGAAAATTCCCGGCGGTGGAATCCCGGTGAAAAATACACCGCAGCGCAGACGGGTCCGAGCTATCGATAGGTTCCGGCGCCGCTTTTGAAGGCCTTTTTTATGTTTTACGAGCCTTTCCACTTGCTCCTCTCCCTTTTTTATTTTGGTATGGTGACAATTGTGCGAAAGTTGCTCCACTTTGGGTGTATACTATTTCTTACTTCGATGAATGAATGATTTCATTTGATTTGGCTGATATCTCAAAATCAATATGGTAATATATCAACACTATGATTGTGTGTTTACTAAAGGTAAACAATGAATAATATTATCCTATTATTACTTAATCTTTAAATACATAAAATAGCCTTTAATACACAGAACACTTTGTCAAGTGGAGCAACATTCCAAATATTCGCACATCGAACCGATGTTCGAACGTATAGTTATAGATTCGCTGAAACCATTGAAACGTGTGAGCTCAAGTGGGACCCTCTCCTATTCACCGTCCCCCTCGCACCACGGGCCATCACCATATTACTGTCCCTGCCCCACATTCCATT